GACCAACGTGCTGACTTCATGATCAGTCCCAGCAGTTGGCTCAGGGCTTTAAGTTGCTTCTTGCTGAGGTCAGGACTGGCTGTAGGGTCCAGAGGGAGCTGAGTGTTCTCGCTAAGGTCAAAGAATCAAAGGGAAGACCCTTTCCTGGTGAAGTGTGGTGACAGTCATCTCAGGTGGAAACTGTAGTTTGGCTCTAACCCTGCTGTTTGGCTTAACGGTGGGAAAGTTATTTTGATTTTCTGAATTGTATGAGTCATCCCATTCAATTGAATGCCTTATTGATTGTAATGTGAATATCCCACTGATTGTGATCTTACTGGTTTGGGAAAGCAAATTCCTCTGTTCCTGGGAACCAGGACAGCACAATTATCTCAAGATTACTGAATGTGCTGGGGACAGGGACCGTGGCATAGAAAAATTACTGATTGTCTTAAGAAACAAAGGTTTATGATATGCTCCAGCCAGTGTGACCCCGTTTTCCTCCTGAACTTTTACCCTGCCAGTTAATGCTTTGTAGTTTTTGCAAATAAAAGCGTTGCTGCACCCTTGGTTGGTGCTGCAGCTACGAGGCTCCCTGTGAAGAGGTACGTGCTGCAGTCGCTGGCCAGTTTAATAAAGGCTCCAAATTTAAATTCTGAGTCGGTGGTCTAGCTTGCTGATTGAATCCATAACACCTGGCAGTATTTGCAGGTAAAAGCTCTCATTCTGAGGACAAATCCTGGAAGGGAAACCCACTCCTAGTAGGAGGAGGTCTGGGGTTGATGGAGGTAAGTGCAAGTATGTGCACGCATGCAGGAGCGAATGTGTTTTCATGTGTAGGTAAGCCCATGTGCTTTTGCATAAGAGGCTGTATATGTGACTCTGTGAGTATTTATGTGTCTCTGCACATGTATATTTATGTGTGCTTGGCATTATACACTCTGTGATCATTGATGCCCCTGTGTTTGTATGTGTGTACTCATACCTACAGGTGGGTCTCTGCATGTTTATCTGTGTTATGCCTGTCTATGCATGCTTCTATATTCTTGTGTTTATATGTTGTGTGTGAGTGAGTGTGTGATGACTTTCACCTATGAGGAAATGTGTATACAGACACCCCTGACTTCCTGCCAACCTGCTTACCAGGTTTCAGAGAGCGTCCATTCGCCTCTCTCACTGGACCTGCTCTGTCATACTCTGCAATTTCATTTTCCATTTGATAAAAGGGGCTAAAAATAATAATGATTTTTAACGAGTTTGGAAGCTGTCCCGCGAGACCTCACTGCTCAGAATCCTTTAGTCTGGTTGCTGAGACAAAACTGAAAAGCCAGCCCTGACTTTCTCTTGTGATGTTTAAGATAAACCCAGGAAGGAAAGCCCCCTGAGCGAGAATGTCTATGGGGCCTTAATCTTTTCCTAAATAAATCCCTGCTTATGACTTTCTATTGCCCATCAAATAAAGGATAATCTGCTGCAAATGGGCTTTGTTTATCTCTCATAAATCTCACTCCTGCTCTGCTAATTCTCATGTCGCTCACTGTTCTGAACACTGTAGTGTCCTTTATGAGGTTTAATATTCTGTCCCAGCTCTCATGTGACATTAATTTCCCATGGGGCTGTGAGCCTGTTTGGTTGGCCTGGACATTGAGGAGTCTGGCTTTGGTAGCTCATGTCCAGACCTGCCCTATTAGCTCTCCTGAAATACAGACACAACCTTGGATATTGGCAGATTTAGCATCATCTTAGGTAGCTTGAAATGAGGCTCAGAGAAATGGGTTTTGAGTTAAATGGAGCTAGTTTCAATTCTGGCTCTGGGACTTCGTAGATGAGTGACCCCAGGCAAGTCTTTGTTGTTGGTGTTGTTTTCTTTCTGTCATGAAACCCCTCATCACAAAGAGAATTATAAATTCTTAACTGCAAGGATAAAAATAATGTATTAAAAACACTGGCTACTTAGTAAGTGTATTAGATAGCTATGGCTGTGTAACAAACCATTTCACAACTTAGTGGCTTAAAAATTATATATGTTTGCTTTTGCTCATGAGTCTATGTGTTGGCAGTTTAGGGGGGTTCTTCTACTCCCAGTGGGGCTCCCTCATGTGTCTGTGGTCAGCTGAGGGTCAGGGTGGTGGCTTTTTCTGGAGGTTGTCTGAGGTCTCTTGATTCTCTTTCACCTGCTCTCTCAGTCTCCAGAGTCCAGCCTGGGCTTATTCTGGTGGAGGAAAGGGCCCCAGCGAGACAGCTGAAACCTGCAAAGCCTCTTAAGGCCTCAGCTCAGGACTGGAACTGCTGGAAGCCAATTCTTGCATGTCATAATTGCAAGAGTTTCACCAAAAGGTTGATGGAGCTTGGGGACGCAACAGGGTTGAGTCACACATGTAGTCACCTGTTTGTGAGAATGGCTGAGGGCATTTCCCCAAACCTGAATAGGATACATTAAATTGATTGCTTGGCTGCCAGACAGCTCAGGGCATCTTAACCTTTAGAGTGCCAACCAATATCCTAGGAACTATGCTAAAATTGCCAAGGCATTTTTGCTGATTTTACAGCAGTTTAGGAAAAAAATTATGAATCGCAAGTAAATGAAGTTACATATTCAAAAACTTAAGGAAACCTTTACTACATTTGTTTTCATCTTTGACAAATATTGTTTGCTGATTGTATTATAAAATACTAGTAGAAAAATAATTTGAACAAAACATAAAATCTGAGTAAACTTCCTAATATCGTAGTACCTGTAAAAAATGAGGTAGATAAATGCCTGTGGTCAATTTTAGAACTACAATCATTTGGCATCATAAGTAATCTGCACTTAGGTGCCATCTGTCAATAAAGAGTGAACTACTAGCATTTAATAGTGACACTGCAGGAGGAGCGAGATCGCTCCCGGCACTCTAGGGGTTAATCTACATGTTATTGCCTCGTACTGGCCAAACACCTGAACAGCCATAGGCTAATTCCCCCATTCGGACAATGCTTGTGTATACCCTTTGAAGTGTATATCTCTGCCTCGCCTCGGGACAAATTGTGTTAATAAAAAGCATGGGGTCCTGAGATGAGTAAAATTTAGAATTTAGATCTTAGTTTCCTTTAAACTAGGCTCCTCTGACCCCCAAATGCCTTTCAAAATTATACTTCGTCTTTGGATTCCTATTTAATCTACGCACAACCTTCTCCAGATTCCTGAACCCTTTGTAATTCTGGGACAAGAACCCGGCTTGAGCATTGTCAAGTCCACTGCATTCTATGGGCCAGAGCCAGTGATAGGCCAGCCTGGGCAAAATTGGTGGGAAGGCAGACTAGCCCTGGATGGGAGGAGCTGTAGTAACATTGGAAAGACATGGAAGCAGGGGGGACATTAATGGGAGCAATCAGTGCAAGCAACCTCTTGTGATAGGCACTCCGTGTTGGTTGAACTGCCTGGCACCTAATAATAATTAATGAATATTAATTAATGGTACGTAGTGTAGCCTGTTGTGGAGGAGAGAAAAAGAATTTTCCCTCCACCCTTCTAAGTTCTTGGCGGAGATCCCCGCCCCCATAATAAAAGTCAGATTAACAGGAGAAAAACAAAGAGAAGTTTAATAACACGTATACCTCCTGCATGCCTGGAAGAGACCTGGAAGAAACCAAGTCAGTCCCTGAAATGGCCCAAGCCACCCCCTTAGTTACCATTTCCAGCTAAAGACAAAAGAAGATGTTGGGGGTGGGGAGGGCAGTTCCAGGCGGTTCCCAGGAAAAGCACAATAATCAAGGGGATGGCTGTTGTGCAGATTTAAGTCATTCTATCTCCATTGATTAAAGTTTCCACACATTAGTCATCCTTCGTTCCCTGGCACACAAGGAGACACGCCTACCAGTGGTAATTTCCCTTATAGATGTAAATTTCTCTTACAAGAGGGTAGCTTCTACTTGGTTTTCAGAACTTCTCCGGTGTCTGTTGTTTCTTAAAAAAAAAAAAAATGAACTTCTCCGGCGTCTGTTGTTTCTTAAAAAAAAAAATCACCCCAAACAATCCTTATGCCAAAGAGGCATATTTTGCGGTGGGAAATTCTGTTCCTCTTCACATCTATGAGGTCCAGTCTCAACACAGTTTCGCTTTCATCCCTGGCCTTTTGATTTTCCTGTCTCTCATTGTCCTGATGCATCTCCCACATAAAGGCTCTATTCTTACCTTCCAGCACAGTAGGCATTCCGAATGCACCCTGGTAGCTCACTTCTTCAGGATGATGGGAGTAAAAAACATACCCACTGCTAACTCTGCTCCAAGCCCTATGCGATACACATTGCTTGCATTCTTAATGTTTATTTTACTACTGTTGGAGAGAAAATTTTTTTTCTCTACCCTTCTAAGTCCTTCTGGCTGGTCTAAGAATTAAATCGACACGAAACAGATTAACAGGAGAAAACCAGAGTTAATTATGTGCATACGGGGAAATCCACATAGACACGAGAGATCTCAAAGACAAAATGAGGCTTGTGTGCCCTTGAGTGTGAAGGAGGAGGGGGTGGTGCTCTTCAAAGGGAAGGAAAGCAGTTCAAAGGGAGATGAAAGGGGCAAATGTTTCATAAACAAATGTTTGCCATGCCCTGTGAGACACTGGGCCACAGAGAGGAATGCTAACAGGCTTTGCTAGGCTGCTCCCCACCCACCCTACTTCATAGCATAGGATAGGTAGTTATTATTCAGGGTAACTGTGTCCTTCCTGGAGCAGGTCCTGCATCCAAATTCTTTTAGGCAGCGAGGAGGATGCTCAAAGGTGCTTTCTGAGTCTCCTTGAGACAGGCCGGTGCGCCAGGGCAAGTGCAATAGGGAAACGGAGACCCATGGTTAAATAGCAGTTCGCCGCCGTCTAGGAACTCTAGATGCCAAGCAGTTTGCAGCCATCTGGCAAGTTTTATCTTCCCTGCACCAAGTCACTTAAGAGTAAATGGTTTGCACTTCCCTCCCCAGCCAGAGGGTAAATAGCTTAAATCACCCCACTCAGGGAGACAGATAGCAGAAATCTAATTAGTGCCATTTGCCAACCACACCCAAGTAGAGATGAAGTTAAGAGAATACATCTCATCTTGCTACATCAGCAGAAAGCTGAGGAATATTCTATTGAGAGCCTCCCCTAAGACCTACCCTAAATGCCCAGCCTTTAAAAACCCCTCAAAACAAAGGTCCCAGCATGCACTGTCCCTCCCAGGAGCATGGCCCTCACCTTCTCCCACTCCTCCCCCACAGGCAGGCATCTGCTAAACTCTGAGGGGACCTGTGAGTCTTGCAACCAGGGCAGCAATGGGCAGTGGCAGTTCATCGCAGGCAGCCTCCCTGAACCTGTCCCCAAGGCCCCCTCCCAGCCCCTTCTGGTCCCACTGCCCCCAGCTTTCACAAATGTCCTCTAAAATTCACCCGGACTCGCGTTGTGAAATTTGTCCTGCATGAGGTCAAGAGCCCACAACTGCCAGGCAGCCTTAGGCAGGCCCACCAAAGGCCAGGTCCCCTTTCCGGTAACATTTTTGTTTCCTACAAATAATCAGCCTAAAATAATCCTCATGGCTAACAGACATATCTTGGGGTGGTCAATTTTGCTCCTCTACACTCCATCCCCCTGACGGGGGCAACTTAATCAAGGGGAGGTAAAGTGACCCGTACCAGGTCACTTAGCTAGCACAGGCGGATTCAAACCCATTCCGTCCGACTTTCAAGTCCACGCTTTAGCGAGTATGTTAAACTGTCTCCCTCACCTAGGGTGACCAACTCAATCCTGGTTTCTGGGGCTTTTCCTGGATTTAAAACGGAAAGTCTGGCATCCTGTGAAATGACCCCTCCCCAGGCAGAGTGGGGTGTCTGTCACCCAGCCCGAGGCCTCTGCGTCAGGCTGGGCTCAGCATCTCTGACTCCTCCCGCTCCCCCGGTCCCCTTAGAAAAGGGTGTTTCCACGTCTTGCTTCCTCTCTAATTCCTGACACCTGTCTTATTGCTTCTATTTTTTTGGCCGTGCAGTCTTGTGTGCCATCAACATCTGGTTTGTTCCACTTTGGAAATGCACACGGCACTGCAGGCTGCTCCTGGCTGGAATTCCCTGCCTCCACCCCGACAGCTGAGACCTCCCTGGGGATGGAAGAAAGTAGAATCCTATCTGCTTTGCAGACTCTTAGGAAACTCGCTGTCCTCTTAATGCCTCCCAGTAGCACCGGGGGTTGAGGGGACAGGCAATGCCTTCTCCTTACTGTGACATCTTTGCTCAGTCCCTCCCATCACCCTGACAACATGAGCCTCAAGATAAGCAATGGGGTATTGACAGGAAAGAGGAGAGAAGCTAATATCCATTGGCTAACCCCCCTCCCCGCCCCCAATAAAACATTTGCCCTTTAGAGTCTTATCTTCTTTTTAAATAAATTCTTGGATTCTTAAAATAGAGTGCTTTTGGCAATTATCATTTAAAAGCCTTCACTCAAAAAAAAAAAAAAAAAGACTCCAAACCTAGACACCAGAGATACTGCTCAGAACTATATAGGCTCTCTCCTGTGTGCAGCCTAGTAAAATTGGAGCATGCTGGAAAAGATAAAACGGCATGCCAGGTGACTGAACCGGCGCAAAAGCACAAAAAGAACGAATATTTCAGAAATGCTGATCTGGACAGCTTTGCTACGGAACCAGAGAGGTCATTGAATTTGCCAGGTTCCAAATGAGCAGCTAGCTTCTCCAAGCTTGACCTCCAAGGATGTCAAAGGTACCTGGCCGAGCACAGGGGCAGTGGCCCTGCATTGTTGAGAAGCCACGCCGATGACTTTTCCAGAGACAGTGCTCTTAACGAAGACATCTGGGGGAGCAACAGGGGGAGTAAAGGCCCCCACCCCCAAATTTGTGTGAGAGTTCCAGTTGCTCAAAGTTGAATTTTAAGTAAAAGCCCTCAGTGACCCATATGGCTGGAGGTTGGTGTACATTTGCGATACACAACGGGAGTCAAATCAATATTCATCCAGAGAAACAAATTAGGAATGAGCAGTTCATACTTAGCCAAGCGTGCCAAGCTCTCCAAGGACGGGGAATTGAAAGATTTCTGCAGTCCTCTGTGCCTGCCCCAGAGAACATCTAAAAGCTCCCCAAGGTTAACTACCAAACAAAAAAGGACCTTTGGCAATTCCGATATTGTGAGAATTTCCATTAGATAAAGTTAATAGGATTTTTAAAGTGCTTCTTGGTTGCTAGTAGGTCCATGCTGGGAAAATAATGTAAAAAAAACCCCAGTAAAAATATGTTTCAAAATTAATGGGAAATAATATTGAGGAGGAAAACAATCCCCCACTGACGAGAGCAATCTAGTTTCTGGAAACGGGCATTGTGTTGGGTAGATTTTCGGGAACGTCAATTATGAATAAGGTTAATACTGACAATAATCTGGGCTGCCCAAGGAAGCAAAGAATTGTCTAGTCACAGAGCTCAGGGAGTGGGAGATGGTTGCTAAATCGCTCTTGCCTTTTGCAGCATCTCAGCTTATTTCCTTATTTCACTCACTTGCAGATTTGTGAGCTGAGGAAAAGGAGGGGTTATCGTGTGCCTCCTGTCCTACGCAAAGAATCAATCAAGATTTTCATTCGTATGGGAGCAACTAGAAGCTTCCAATCCTGTTTCCCAACCTGGCTGCCCCTCAGAATTCCTTGGAAAATTAAAACATATATAGATTATTGGAAATCCTTTCAGATCTACTGAATCAATGTATTAGAGGTTGAGGTCCAGAGATCAGTATATTTACAAAAGTCCTATATCAAAATAATCATTACGTGTGTGTGTGTGTGTGTGTGTGTGTGTGTGATATTGTATGCTATATTTTAATTTAAATAGACATTCCAGGTGATTCATAACAGGAGCAGGTCTTTGGAAAAGAGGGGTGAGTCTCCTTTCAAATAAGAAAGCCGAGTCCCAGAGACACAGGGATTTGCTTACTACCACCCAACACAAAGCCAGAACTACAGGCTTGTATCTGAACTCGAAGTGTAGGAACTTCTGCTCTAGACCAGGATGCTATATTTTAATTTAAATAGACATTCCAGGTGATTCATAACAGGAGCAGGTCTTTGGAAAAGAGGGGTGAGTCTCCTTTCAAATAAGAAAGCCGAGTCCCAGAGACACAGGGATTTGCTTACTACCACCCAACACAAAGCCAGAACTACAGGCTTGTATCTGAACTCGAAGTGTAGGAACTTCTGCTCTAGACCAGGCTCATGAAGTTGTTCTGGAAACTTCTGGGAAGGCTTTACACCACTCCTCACAAAGCCCAAAAGACACGCAGGGAAGAGCTGGCTCATTTGACGGAATGTAATGGTCTCACTAACTTTGACAGCCCTTTTCCCTCATCACTCTCCACAAGCCCCCAAATGCAGAGGTATCATCCCCTCCTCCCACGGAGTGGTCTCCATGGGTAAACGGACATCACATCATCCTGCAACAGCTGATGGTTTACCATGCAACATTTATTAAGCATTTACTATGTGGCAGGCACTTTTTCATCCCCTTGAACTTCACATCTACACCCCAAGGACTAGAAATTATTATTAAAATTTTCCAAAACTGAGGCCCAGGTGAAAAACTCAACCAAGATCACATGGCTCAGAAGACCGAAAATTTATCAAATCATTATGATGTATACCTGAAGTTTATATGATGTCAAGTATATCTCAAAAAAAGAACCTAAAACAAAGTGGCCAGGTCTTTATGGCTTCAAAACTCATATTCTTGCCTGGCTGGCATGGCTCAGTGATTGAGCATCGACCTATGAACTAGGAAGTCATGGTTTGATTCTCGTGTGGAGCGTGCAGGAGGCAGACAATCAATGATCCTTTCTCATCATTGATGTTTCTATCTCTCTCTCCCTCCCCCTTCCTCTCTGAAATCAATAAAAATATGTTAAAAGAAAAGACTCATATTCTTTACTTACACGGTGCTCCTCATAACTCTACCATCATATGCAAAGACTTTCAGTGACTTGCACCTGGTTTAGAAACCGACCTATTCTCTGATTAAAAGAAAAATCTATGAGTATCTTTTTCAGGTGAAATTAAGCTCCCATGATACTATTTAATACTTTATGAAACTTGTAAAAGTATCAAGGTGGAAAGCAAATAAACCATGCAGTGGACTATTTCCAGTAGATCTTAAAGAATGTTGAAATCAGAGAATTCTCAATTGTGAGCAAGGCCGTGGTGATGTTGGCATTACTGTTAATGAAGTCTTTTCATGTTCTACGACACTTTTCTGAATATGGAGGTCAAGTTCGGGCATTTGTAATCAGTTGATAAGAGACAAGTGTGTGCAGCCACACGGGAAATCTATGAATATTATCAAATAATGATGTAGAGTCTAATTAAGGTTGAGCTATTAAGCTCTAATTAATTAAGCTGTCAGATTTTAATCAAGGAATTGATTGTTTCTGTATAGACCTCTGATGGTACTGCATCTTTGCAAAGCTCTGGAACCCTGATTTGCAAAGGTTAACAAGTTAAAGGGCCATACTCCAGCCCAAAGAGGCAGTGAGCTTTTCTGCTTCTAAGAGGGTACAGCCCCAATAAATTTCTGATTATTACAGAAAACCGAAAAGGCACATGTGCCTTCATGAGTAGAACCAGACCCAAAGATTGTACTTAAAATTTATTTCCTTGGTGACCATTGTTCAGATTCAAAAGCATTTCTGGGGTACCTACTCTGTTATTGGAAATATATCATCTCATTTTACCCTCAAAGCAACCCACTTTACAGAAGAGGAAATTGAGGGTGAGAGAGGGGGTGGGACCAACTCAAGGTTCTATAACAAGCCAACTTCCTTGGGGGAGGAGAGGTGGTATTGAGTATCTATTCCCTGGCTGAGTGAACTGAACTGGATTTTCTTTGGTTCTTGAGAATACAGCACAGCTTCTGATGCATTTTTTGCATCCTCTCCACCCCGTATCTCTAGTCTCTCTTCCCATTGCACAGAGATCCTTTGCCTGGTGGCAAACACACCCGTTTTTGGAATCATATAGGTCAGGATTGAAATCTGGCTCTAGTACTTACTGGCTGTGAGAACCTGAACGAGTTATTTTCTTTCCTCTGAACCTCAGCTTTCTCATTTGCTACGGGGGCCAGAGGACTGAAGGACATCACCTTGCAGAGGACTGAAGGACATCATGGCTACATTGTCCTGAGCACTTCCTGTCTGCCAGGCCTGGTGCTAAGCATGCCATCATTCACTTCGTCCTCACCATACCCTGTGAGACGGCGCTGCCCGACAGAACTTGCTGCAAGGATGAAAACAGTCCATTCTGTGCTGCCCAATATGGGAGCCACTGGCCTCACGCAGCCACCCAGCACTAAGAATGTGGCTGGTGCCACTGAGGGACAGAATTTTAAATTTTCTTTACTTTTAATGAATTAAATTTAAAAATATTTTTATTGATTTCAGAGAAGAAGGGAGAGGGGCAGAGAGATAGAAACATCAATGATGAGAAAGAATCATTGATCAGCTCCCTCCTGCACGCCCTCTACTGGGGATCGAGCCTGCAACCTAGGCATGTACCCTGACAGGAATTGAACCGTGACCTCATGGTTCATAGGCCGACACATCAGCTGAGTGACTTACAATTTAAATAGCCACTTGTGACTGGTAGCCTCTGTATTAGCACAGCTCTAATGACGTATTCATCTTATTCTGATTCCACAGATGAGGGCCCAGAGAAACCACGTGACTTGCCTACAGTCTTACAGCTTGTAGGTGGCAGAGTTGAGATACAAACCCAGGTGAGGCGGCTCCTAACCGCTATGCTGCACCAAACGGGGACTGGAGAGCAGGGCCTATCAAAGCAGAGATCAGAGGCCACGCTCTCCACCTGCGCTGATGAGCGGGCTTCCTGCCTTGTACCCCAGCACTTTATCCCGTTAGAACGGCTGAGGGGCCCAGTGTAAGCCAGGCCACCTACCGTGTCCCCTACATCCTCTGCCCTGGGTAAGCCGTCTGTTTGCAGGCAGGAGGTGGCGTGGCCTGCAAGGCGGAGATCACTTACATGGCCTGCGTTGGCTTCAGGGCTGGGGTGACCCCATGCTTTGGCTTTCGGTCAGTTGAGGAAGGGAGCTGGCGAATAGCAATGGTTGTTTTGTGCCAGCTGCCATGTGGGCTCTCCACACCCATGCTCACATTTTACACCATAACTTAGGTGCTGCCACCACCTCTGGAGGTGACCACCAGGCCCGATGACTTGCCCAGGGTCACACAGTGTGGAGGGGCAGAGCAGGAGTTTTCAGGCAGGCGCTTGCTTCATTCTTTCCCGCTGGACTTCTCATCTTGGCTGTCTCTCCCTATTAGCCTGTTTAGATCTATCTCACGGTGAGACAGTTTCTGGGCTCCGACTCCACAGGCAGAAAAGCAACAAGTAGAAAATGGGGTGAGCCCTAGCTGGTTTAGCTCAGTGATAGAGCGTCGGGCTGCAGACTGAAGGGTCCCAGGTTCAATTCCAGTCAAGGGCACATGCCTGGGTTGTGGGCTTGATCCCCAGTAGGGGGTGTGCAGGAGGCAGCCAATCAATGATTCTCTCTCATCACTGATGTTTCTCTCTCTTCCTCTCCCTTCCTCTCTGAAATCAATAAAAATATATTTTAAAAAATAAAATAAAAATGGGGGTGTTGCTGAATTTGGCCCAGGCAGCTGTGAGAAGGAGGGAGAAAGGAGTGGGCGCTGAGGAGGAATATGAATGATGGAGACCGACACCAAAGAAAACTGCCATTATAATAATAATGATAATTAGCGGGTCCTCCCTGCCCTCTCCCTCGGATCACATGACTTCCCCACACAATGCCCAGTACCTGTCAGCCTCCAAGGGCTTGTTATAAAAGATTGCTGTCACATCCCGAGACAATGGAAACCAAGCTGCCGACATTTAAGGAAATGTGTCTGCATTTAATACTTTGTTTCTTTTATGGAGCAGTAAGAACGCCAAGATTTACACATTACGGGATTCCTAACTGAATCGTATAAATGGAAAATGCGAGCTCTGGGAATCTTTGGAGAAGCAGGCGGAGGTTTGTCAATGCCGGTTGCTCGCCTGCTTCCCGCTTGGGCAGCTGGGTGGCTGGGCTGGTGACTCCGGTGTGTCTTCGCACTGGGGCACGTCTTGTCGGCTCATTTCCTTCTGGGTCTGCGCTGTGCTCCTGCAGGAAACTCTTGAAAAACAAACTTTGGGTCTGGGAAGCTGGTGCCTCCCGGTCTTCCGTCCCTGCCAATCTGACTTCCAGGCCATCTTACCGTGTCCCCAACTTCCTCTGCCCTGAGTGAGTTTGCAGGCAGGGGTGTGGTCTTCTGAGATGTCGAGGTGGTGTGTAAGGAGTCATGGTTTTGGGGCCCTGCTATGTCCTAGCTGTGTGACCTTGCCCAGGTGACTAACCCTCTCTGAGACTCCATCCATACCCGATTCTGTAAACGGAGAGCATTGATTATAAGGGCTGTTCCAAATTAAATTGCCCCCTGCCCTAAATATGTTAAAGTTCTGACCCCCGGTACCTGTGAATGTGACCTTGTTGGGAAATGGGGTCTTTGCAGATGCAATTAACTTAAGGTGAGGTCATATTGGAGTCGGGTGTGTCCTTTATGCACTATGCCAGGCGTCCTTATAAGAGGAGAAGACACATAGAGGCAGGCAGGGAGACAGCCATGTGAAGGCAGAGGCAGAGACTGTAGTGATGCCATCACAAGCCAAGGAAGGCCTGGGGCCACCAGAAGCTGGAAGAGGCAGGAAGGGTTCTCTCCTGGAGGCTTCAGGGGGACCATGGCCTGATGACACCTTGATTTCTGACTTCTGGTCTCCAGCACTGTGGGAGAATAAATCTCTATACTTTTAAAAAAATGTATGTTTTTATTAATTTCAGAGAGGAAGGGAGAGGAAGAGAGAGATAGAAACATCAATGATAAGAGAGAATCATTGGTTGGCTGCCCTCTGAATGCCCTACACTGGGGATCGAGCCCACAACCCAGGCATGTGCCTTGACCGGGAATTGAACCATGACCTCCTGGTTCATAGGTCGATGCTCAACCACTGAGCCACGCCGGCTGGACAACACCTCTATAGTTTTAAGCCTTCCAGTTTAGGATACTTTGTTCTGCAGCCCTAGGAAAGGAATAGAAGGGGAGATGATTTTGAGGAGTTGCAGGACTATGTCAGTGCCTGGCAAGAGCAGATGCCAGGAAATGTACGTTTCTCTCCTTCGTTCATGGTTTTTGGGGTCCTGCTGCACCCAGGAGGAGAGGTGACACAGTGGCTTCAATCACAGCATCTTGAGCCAGGCTGCCCGGACTTGCATCCTCACTCCATTATTTAACCAGCGTCGTGACTTTGAACAAGTGGCTTGATCCTTTTGTCTCAGTTTTGAGAAGGAGAAAGGCAGCCCCTGACACCAAGATGGGCCCAGTGCTGCGAGCCCAGGCTTCGTGTTGCCAGGAGCTGCCCCGGCACTCACACCGGACCCTAGCGTGCCCCCTTGAGCATAAACAATTTCTCAGAACATCATCAGGAATGGTAGAAAGTAGAATGGGGTGGGGGCAGGGGTATAGAAGGAGTTAGGGATATGTAGTTTAAGGTACAAACTTGCAACTAGTAGATAAATAAGTCTGGAGACCTCATGCACAGTATAGTGACTGTAGTCAACAATACCATATAAGCGACTTCAATGTTGCTAAGAAACTAGATCTTAATTGTTCCCACCACAAAAAAGAAGGATCGTTATATGACACGATAGACATGCTGTACATCTTTAAGTGACACAATGTTCTATGCCAATTATATCTCAACTAGAGGCCTGATGCATGAAATTCGTGCAAGAGTAGGCCTTCCTTCCCCGGCTGCCGGCACTGGCTTCCCTCTGGCACCCGGGACCTGGGCTTCCCTCACAGCCCTGGCTTTGTCTGGAAGGTTGTCCGGAAGGACGTCTAGTCTAATTAGCATATTATGCTTTTATTATTATAGATAAAATAAATAAATAAATTACAAAGAAAATAAAAAAGAAAGGCTCTCTGTACCTATGATGGGCCAAGACCAAAACAAGCCCGCTTTGTAATTATTTCTAAACACAGACGAAATGTGAGCATTTGGTGGTCCCAACCACCAAAATGACCCAGCAATCCCTTACCCTGGCTGACCCTGGCGACTGCTGCTCCTTTACCAACCACGGCCACAGCCTCGCTTCATTCCTCCCACCTTCTCCGTGAGGACCGAGAAATAGTCACAGAGCTGCTCCCGCTGCCTGCCATGCAGAGGAGCAGTCTTCCTGCCTTTCCGAGGTCGCTGGGGGAATTGAGTTGGGAGCAAGCATGTGCTCCTGCTATGGACCTGGTGTCCCCAAGGACAGCAGAATGAGGACTTCCAGGGGGAGGGCAGAGCGGCTGTGAGCTACAGTGGGTGGAGTTAGGATTTGGGGTCAGCTGAACACGGGTTATCAACCGCTAGTGACTGTGTGACTTGGAGGTGCACCTTGCTTCTCTGAGCTCCGTTCAGCCCCTGGCAGAACGAGAAAGATGACAAAATGAAGAGTATGGTGTGTCTAGTTGCTGCCTCTGAGACCCCCCTGATTGAAATCCTTCAATGGGACCCAGTGAGCTTCTCAAATTGGGGTGCATATGGCAGGACACAGCCGTGCTGAGTCCAGATTAGAGGTGCTCAAGCCCAAGTCAGTTGGCAACATTGGGAGACATTTTTGGTTGTCACGACTCTGGGAGGGGAGGCGGTTCTGGCATCTATTGCACAGAGGCCAGGGATGTTGCTAAACATCCTACAGCACACAGAGCAGCCCTACATCAGGGAATTATCCGGCCCCAAATGTCCACAGTCCCAGGGTGAGCAGCCCTGCACAAGGGGGAAGGGGTACAGCATTTGTGTGGTCACTCTTGCTCCACAGTAAAGGTTTAAAGCATCATTTTATTATAACAAATGCAAATATAGGATGGAGGAGAACGCAACATTTGAATGACTTTTTAACAAAGACCTGATATTTCCCAAAATTACACTCAGGGAGTGGGCTGCTTTGGGGTCTGCTCCCTTTTAACAGCCCCCGCCTCCCCATCCTGTGACTAAGAGACCCAGAGTGCTGTGGCAGCTGCTGTCCTATGGATGAATTCCAAATCTGTGTCGGAGCATTGGTATCTTCCCCAGCCTTGTCTGTCATTAAGCATATTCTCTGGTCCACCTACATCAAGCAATAATAGCAAGTAACCCATTTACTAGGGACCAGGCACCAGCTAAGCGTTTTGCACAAATTCTCTCCTTTATCTAAAGTACCAGGAGTGACCAAACACAGACATTCACTTTTCTGCCTTTGAATTCAAAACTTCTCAGTGTTTCCTTTCTCTGTCCAACAAACTTCTGCTCATCCCTCAAAACCCACTTCAGCAAACCCTCTGTCAAGCGGTTATGAACCTGGGTCCTGAAGCCAATTGCCTAGAACACATCTTCCTCTGCCTCTAACTTGCAGTGTCCTCTTGGGCAGATTGCTTTATCTCTGTGCACGTTTCCCTTCTAAATAATGGGATGATTAAAATAGTATCTTCCTTACAGTGGCTAAATCAGCACCCGAGGGCTTGGAACAGTAGGTGGCACATAATAGCTGCCTAATAAATGTTTAGCTATTATTATTATTAGGCTTTTATTTGACCCTTTCCCTATCATCGCCCCACCATTCTTGCTAGACTCTGGGTCTCACAGGGCCTTTCTGGAGTTGTTTGTAGCGTTCACAAGTGTCTGTGGAAAGAAAGAACGGGATACAGAGATGATATGCAGTAGCCACACTGTGTAAAAGTGACTGCTAAAATCTGGGCAGAAATCCCAACCTTAAACAAACATCTGAGCCTCGAATTACAGGTTGGGCTGCCACTGAGAAATACCCTCTATAAAACTGGGGAAAGAGACACACTCCCTGCTCTTGGGAGCAGCTGTGAGCTGGCTCCAGTGCATCCGGTTAAGCCTCTTAGATGAACACTCCTTTGCTAGTCAGTGGCTTCCTGTAGTGAGGTGCTAAGAAAGATTCCGAGGCCATGTCTGGGGACAGAGTAAAGAGTGACCTAATCACTATGGCTAGCTGCCACGGGTGGCGGAGGGGAGGTGCAGAACCCATCATCTCTGGATTGTGAGGCCACAGGCAAAGGCCCTTCAGGACCTGGCACCCAGTAGACACTCAATAGGTGGCACATATGACAGCAGGTCAGGGGCACAAAGGCTGTCTCTTGTTCTTCGCGTGCTGACACTTGCTGAATACACGTGGAACAGTTAAGCGTCCCCAGAGTCAATAAATGCTGCAAAAGCACAAGGCACTGGGTGCAAAGGAAACAGTTTGGGCCTTTGAGTCAAGCTGGCCGGGCTGGTGTTCCCACAGTTGCGTGACCTTGGGGAAACATTGCGTGACCTCTGACCCTTGGTTTCCTCATCCGAAAAAGGGGGGACATTACTGGGAGGATTGATTCCGTCCATGAAAATACTAAAGTGTGAGGCTCATTGCTGGTGTTTCCTGAGGGGCAGTTTCCTTCCTCTTCTCCAGTGCGGAGCTGCCAACTCATTGCTCGACCCACAGCCGAGTCAGCATCATAAACCCTGAAAACCCTGTGACTGATTTTCAAGCAGCAAAGTCAAAATCACTCACAAGACTTCTCGCTCCACTTACAGTTTCCCCCGAGTTGTTACTTTCCTTTTGCAAATAGTAAAAGAATAAAATGGGGGGAAAAGCTACTTACCCACAGTCCGCAGATAAACGCCCATAAGTAGTTCAAGGCAGGCACGGTGTTCAGGGGAGGACAGGGAGGGCTTGTTTGTGCCTCATGCTGGGTTCATTATAAACCCGGGAGAAAGCAGGTTCTCGGAGAAATGCTGATGTAGCCCATCTCAGGGTTGCTATGAGACGTCCAACCGCGTTACATAAAAACAGAGCCTGAAATATGGAAGCGGAGATTTTAATGACCAGACCCCTGGCTGTCTGGAGGGAGAGCCTCGGTCACTATTTCCTGCTAAGTAGCACGGTTGGTTTTATTTCTCTGATGGCTTAATGAGACTAATTGATCATGCCCCACAGTGTTGCTTCCTTCCACTGGGTAGATGTGAGCAGGCTCAGGTAGATGAGCTGGTTTCTCAATGAAACGGCCACTCAGGAGGGCAGCCCAGGGGTGGGGGTGGGGAGTGAGGAGCAGCTTGCTGTTTTTCTGTGTCCTAACACAAGTCATTTCATGACTCTGGTTCCAATGAGGCCTTTCTTCCCAGAGGACCTAACACTGTGTCTCCAGCTCTAAG